CAAGAGGAATTTGTAGGTCCCCAGTGGGTGCTACACCCCCCGCAGTACACACTCTTACAGTGTCAGGCACTGTGCTAAACGCTCTATATGGATGACTCCACTTAATCCCTGTAGTTTCCCAGACGGGCAGGTACTATCATTCCATGTCACAGAGGAGGAAAAGGAAGTCCAGACAGGCTAAGTAACTTACCCAGAGATGGCCTGTTAGTGGCAGAGCTGTGACCTAAGGTGAGGTCTGGTTCTAAATGTGTGCCCTTAAACCCTATGCTCTTGTTTTACTCATATACAAATTACATTAAAAGGATTACATTTTTGGAAAAATTACTCTGGGAAAAACTTAAAATTAACCACACTGCATAGCTTTGAGGAAAGAGGTCAAATTCTCCCTTCTGATCATATAGTATTTATTTAGTCAAGAATACAGCAAAGGTGATGGAACCTTTCAGAGTTTTGATGGTTGTGGGGACTGTATGACTCTATGCCCTTGTCAAAACTCCCAGAACTGCATATCATAAATGGCAAAGTGTACAGCAAGTAAATAGTGAATGAATGAAAACACAGCATGCCTTTTAGAAAGACTAAATGCCCAGCAACATTCAGGATTTAGCACACCATTTTCAAAAATCAGCTCAGGGTGAAAAGGAATTACAGATGCAAGTTTTATAAGGTTATCTCTGGGGGCAGTGAGCCTGAAAAGAGGTTAACTCCATAGTGTGAAAAACAGTGAGAAACATCTCTCTTCTCTCTCCCTGTCACACACACACACACAACTCAGTGGCCACTGACGTTTATTTCTCATAAATGCATTTGCAAGACATATACTACTCACAGCACCAAAGTAAGGAGCTTGGTGTACAACCCCAGTGCCTTCTTCCTCCTTCACATAGTTGTCAACAAGCACAGTAAAAGCACCATTCTCTTTACACTGGAAAAGAAAGGTTATCAGGCTTAAAGAGTAAAACAATACCATACCATAATATTAATTTAATAACAGTTTTTGGTAAGAGCCTGAAAAATCTTTTAACATGCAAAATTATTTTCAGAAATAGAAAAGACAGAATAATTCAGATTGGGAAGAAACATGCTAATTCAATACATCGTTTCCATGAATAACAGGTCATCACTTATAAATGAAATAATTATTTGAAGACTTGCAGAGAAAAATTTCTAACTTCCTTTGCCACAAAACTGTGCTTTTTCATCAGTTCTTCCAACCTCACCCCTGCCCTAGAATGCAGTTTTTCGTGAAAATGTCTCAGACGATGTGCTTCCTTAACCATTCACTTCCGGGTATATTTTCAATCACTGCATATGCTTTGCTGCTCCTTTTCCTTTCAGTCCAGCTCAGGTTATTCAGTAATAAAAGGCAAACCTTGGAAGAATCGGTATGGGAGCTGAGTTACAAGTTCTAGTTACAGGTACTCCACCTACTGTAACATGAAGGGAAATGTTCTCAGTTTGATTTTCTTTGTAACAACAATAAAGTCAGGTTCATACACAAACACTACAGACCTACTTCTTCTACCTTTATCTCTTAATATTTCTTTTCTTTGCTTTCTTACCTCTCTGCCTTTGCAAAAAGTACTTTCAGAAATTATTTTCACATTTAATCCTATAATCCTGTGAAAAAGGCATCAGCAGTCTCATGTTTTAAAAATATTCTGGTTGTATTTGAATTTCACAGATGAACAAACTCTGAACAAAGATGAAATGGTTTGCCCAAATCATACAACTAGTAATGACCTGAAAGAAGGTCTTCTGGTTCCAAACGCAATTTTATTTTCAACTATATCACAACTCTTTAATTCTCTGGCATTCACTTAAAACTAAACTTGAAAAATAACTATGAATTTTTAATTGCTATAACCCAAGTCACCTGGAAATATTTTTGGTGTGGTATGATAGGTGCTAAAAGGTGTGTCTTCAATAGTTTAAACATGGAGAGATAATATGTGGGTTCTTAGAATCAGATGTAAGAACAGGGAATACAAAGGTATCTTACTGTTTCTAACTGTAGAGGGTTTCTAACAAAGAAACCCTACATTGCATTCCTATCTCTCGAAGTCCAGTTTTAGATCCTTCCCCTGCCAAGGATGAACTGGGTCAGCATTCACACAGAGAGTTATAGTGCTGTCCTTCAAAGACAACATCTACTCTCATAGCTCTCACTTAATATTTCAGAACATGTGTATTTTAGGTATACACCAGATGATTTTTGTCTTCAAAGAATTTGCAGCATCTTTCTAAAACTCACCAAACGTTCTAGAAATTTCAGGAAGCTAACTGAATGGATAGTTGTTGTTCTTAAATAACTTAGATCAGTATGAACTGAGTGCATATTCCAGACAGACTTCTGATTTAACCTAAAGTTCCTATCTATTGTGCTCATGTGCATTTTCTGAGAGGGCTGAACTTTCCTTAGGTTCTCAAAGGGATCTAGTGTAAGAGGTTTTAAGACAAATAAAAACAAATACAAGAAAAAATAAAACATGTTATGATACAGAAGAGAAGAATGCAGGAATGATATTTTTCGGAGGGAGAAACCAAAGAAGCATTTCAAAAATTGCTTTTTTTTCAGATGGCACCTGAGTTTAGCCTTGAAGAGTGTCAAGCTGATATGACGTTAAAGCAAGGTGAGGGTTTTTTAAAAAAGAGGAGGAAGACAATAAAAACAAAGGCAGAGAGGGAGGAAAAGAAAGGGCCAGTGTGATGGAAGCAAAGGATATGTTTAAATCAACATTAGGGAATGTGGTTAGGGAGTAGGACTGCCTTGTGTCAACTGGAGAATACCCATTGAGGAATGTGCTGGCAAATGACTACAGGCTCAAGGGAGGGACCAGACCAGGTAAAGTGTTTGGAAATCCATCAGCAGCAACATGGAATGAGGAGGAATGCCATTAGTTAGGAGATAAAAAACATGGGAAAACACTCAGGTGCACAAAAATGTAGAGGCAGATGTGACGTTGTGGACAGAGCCCAAATGGCAGAGATCACCTGCATTAGCCAAACTCTATCCCTACACTGAACCAGAACAGAGGTAAGCAAATATTTTATCATGGGCTATGGTGTAAGGTTTTGCTGGCTAATGCTACGTCCAACTGAAATAATTTCCACATAATGTGTAAAACCGGGTCTGAGAGTGTTGCTCATTATTTCACTCCAAGACCTATAAATAAGAACCAACAGGAAATTCCTGCTGACTTTATTCTTTTGTTGTTGTTGGTGGGGTTTACAGCTACAGCTGTGGATTCTGTTGCCAGAAAATGGAAAACCACATAAAATAGCTTTGTGACTCTTATAAGAACTAAGTTACTAAATGTCTGAGCTTAAAGCACCCACCTCATCAATTCCTGGAAATGAACTCTGTTTACTTTTACACACACAGTTTTGTAAAAGCACTACCTTAAGTTTGTAAAAACAAAACTCAAAAAACAAAAAACACCTCAACGACTTGCCTGGGTGATGTGTGGACTATAAACAATACAAATATACACACATTAAATCTTATCAAAGTAACTGATTCCTTATGTAATCTGAGAAAAGTATTTAAAAATTCCTATAGGATTTTAATTATTAAAGCAAGAAGGCAATACAAACAGAATTTAATTTTTGTAATACTAAAACAGATTTTTGGATTTAGGCACACTTGTACAAACAATATAACAATAAGACAATATAAATACCACTCCAGTTATCAAATACTTGGGTTGTGGACAGCTCCTGTGGTAGAAGTCTCTAAGCTCACCTTTATAAAATAGTCAAACAGCGGTCTGTATTTCTTGCCTTTGAGATAGGCACCAGGCAATCTAGAAAAAAGAGAAAGGCAAACTCACAATTAAAATTATCAAAGAAATGAGGCTACAGCCACATCAAGTTATCATTCCCTTCTGGTTTCCTTGTTCCTAAATCATGAGTGCTGGAACGTGTGACCTGAATGTACTTGGTATTAGTACTTAAAACTAAAGTTGCATAATATAGCTTTTGGGCAATAAAGTATCTCACTTTTTAAAGCTAAAGACACACATGCACGTGCACACACACACACATACAAATCAATGAGGTGTATATTCACCTTTCAAGGATCTCATAGTCACTCTCCAATTTATAGAGGGCTGATAATCTGGCTTCCATTAAAATGTATAATTTTCCTCTGACAGCATCTATGAGAGCAAGGGAAAAAGTGGACTTCAATGATATTCAGGCTTTGGCTTACGCTAAAGACATGCATCTGCATATTTTTCCCTCCAGGGGCTCCTATATCACCTGCATCCAATGTGCTCAGCACTGACAGAGGAACACCACAAAGAACGCTAGGGCACACGTGCTTTCCAAATACGAAAAAGACAAAAACATCAAATGCTGTTAAGGCAGCTCATCAGTTGTTGTTAACTGCACCTCTATTCATTTTAAGTAAATTAATCTTTTCTCCTACCAAAAGTAACATATATGAGTGCTTAAAATCCGTAACATTAGCAAACCAAGAAGAGATCACAAAGTAAAAGTTTCCCATAATCTCATACTCCCCACCCCACCCCGCCCCTGCCTCGACACTATCGTTTCAGTGTCTATTCCTCCAGGTGTTTTTCTACGTATATATCAACATACATATTATGTAAACATGTAACTTAATAATTATGGGATATAACTCAATACAGTTTTGTAATTTGTTTTCACATAATACATTGTGAACATTTTCTCATAATGTTAGCACATATAGATTCTCTCATTCTTTTAAATAGCTTCTATAGTATTCCATCTTATGGAGGTACAAGTTATTTTTAACATATCAATTAATGCTAGACAATTAAACTGTTTTCAAATTGCTACTGCTATGAACACTGGGATAACGAATATTCTTATACATGTCTTTGTACCCATATTGGAAACATTTCTGAAGGATACTATCCTAGGAAGAGAAAAGCTGAAACAAATGCATAAACATATAAAATTTAATAGATACTGACAAATTGCCTTACAAAAATTTAGGCTAATTTAAACGCCCACATGTAAAGTATGACATACCCAAGAATATACTAAAGCTATACCTAAGAATATACTAAGGCTGTAAGAAAAATGAGTATCTATGGATCCTTGTGAAGGCCTTTGCAATTCACTGAAAAACTACCACAAATAATGTTGCCATCCACCAGTTCTGACCTCACAGGAACTTCATTATAAGTGGAGTCTATATTTTCTGAATAAAACACAGAACACATGGTACACAAGAACACAAGAAGTAAAAGAGTTGTATGCAGGCAGATGAATGACATGATTGAAATCTCAGCCAGATGGCCTTTATGGCTGTCAGGCTTACTACGGAATGGCCATGATCCACAGGCAACTCAGGAAACTTATAACAGACAGAAATGCACTTGCAGGGAGAAGCAGCAGTAGACACCAGAGCCAGGCTCTATGTGGAAACAGCTCCTTCCCAGTTGATATCGCTAGAAACCAACTCTTGGTCTTAGCTACTCCTAAGGCACAGCTAAACAATGATAAAAATATCTGATGCCCAACACTTTTCCATTCCTTTCTCAATATTCTTCCCTTGATAGCACAAGCTATTGTGAATCAAGTTAACTGTCTTGTAAGACGGATTCTTTTTCTGGCTATGAGTTTTTCTTTTCTTTCCCTGACTTCCCCCTGCTCCCCATAAACTATAGAAACCTGAAGGTACCAACCTTCTTTTTTCATATAAATCTCTATGGAAAGGGCCTCATCAAGACTATGGTTAACTTGACCACCAGGAAATATTTGAAAGGTACAAAGTTCTCAAGTTCTGGTACCAATTCTATGATACTATGATATAGAGTAAGAAATATATATTTGGTCTTAATCCCTGTTCTGGCAGAGCTCTTAAAACCCTTGGAATTTCCTAAGTGGTGGGAAGGTGTCTTTTGTTACGTTAATGGAGTGACTTTTGTAAAACCCCTAGGTAACCTAAGGATGGTGAACCAAGCACATGGCTACAGGGTTGGAACTTTCATACTCCACCTCCAGCCCCCTCTGGAGAGGAGAGAGGGGTCAGAGATTGAGTTCAATCTCCAATGGCCAATGATTTAATCAATTGTGCCCATGTAACAAAGCCTCCATAAAAACCCGAAAGGATGGGGTTTGGAGAGTTTCCAGGTTAGTGAACGTATCCACATGCTATGAGAGTAGCCCACCCCAGTTCTGGGGAGAGAAGTTCCTGTGCTTGCGACCCTTCCAGATCTCACCCTATGCACTTCTTCATCTGGCAGTTCATGTGTATCCATTACAATCTCCTTTTATAATAAACCAGTAATCTAGTAAGTACAATGTTTCTGAGTTCTGTGAGTTGCTCTTCGGACCCAAGGAGGGCGTCATGGGTTGGTGAGAAGCCCAGGTGACAACCGGAACTTGTGACTGACATCTGAAAGGGGGCGGGGGGGTTGCAGTGGCAGGGGGAAGTCTTGTAGGACTAAGCTCTTGACCTGTGATATCTGACTCAAGCTCCAGATAGCTAGTGCTTGAATTGATTTAATTGCTTGGCGGTGTTGAGAAAACACATACTGGAGATTCCTAATAGCAATGATACGCCACCCCCTTTGAATCTCAGGTTCTTCATCTGTAATAGGAGCATGATGTATAAAAGTATTATAATCTGAAAAGTATATGAAATTTTTACTTTTTATATCTCTGTACAACGTTAATTTTTTTGTGTTAATTTTAATGTTTTGTGTTAATTTTTCAATCAGAAATGAAAATGCTCTTAGAGGTTATTTTTCTGATTAAATCTAATACTTTTTCAAAAACTTCTATTTTTACTCCACAAAGAAATGTAGGACTTCCCTGGTGGTGCAGTGGTTAAGAATTCGCCTGCCAATGCAGGGCACACAAGCCCTGGTCCAGGAAGATGCCACCTGCCATGGAGCAACTAAGTCTGTGCGCCACAACTACTGAGCCTGCGCTCTAGAGCCCACGAGCCACGACTACTGAGCCCGTGTGCCACAACTACTGAAGTCCACATGCCTAGAGCCTGTGCTCTGAAACAAGAGAAGCCACCGCAATGAGAAGCCCACACACTGCAATGAAGAGTAGCCCTGGCTCACCACGACTACAGAAAGCCCGCGCGCAGCAACGAAGACCCAATAAAGCCAAAAATAAATAAATTAATTAATTAAAAGAAGAAAAGAAATGTATTTTTTTTTCTTTTTAACCATTGCATCAAATAGGATAAAATGCCTAGGAATAAACCTACCTAAGGAGGCAAAAGACCTGTACTCAGAAAACTGTAAGACGCTGGTGAAAGAAATCAAAGGTGACACAGATGGAAAGATACACCACATTCTGGGAGTGGAAGAATCAATATGGTCAAAATGACTATACTACCCAAGGCAATCTACAGATTCAATGCAATCCCTATCAAATTACTAGTGGCACTTTTTGCAGATCTAGAAAAAAAAATCTTAAAATTTGTGTGGAAACACAAAAGATCTCGAATAGCCAAAGCAATCTTGAGAAACAAAAATGGAGCTGGAGGAATCAGGCTCCCTGACTTCAGACTATACTTCAAAGATACAGTAATCAAGACAGTATGTTACTGGCATAAAAACAGACATATAGATCAATGGAACAGGATAGAAAGCCCAGACATAAATCCACGCACCTATGGTCAATTAATCTATGACAGAGGAGGCAAGAATATGCAATGGAGAAAAGACAGTCTCTTCCTAAGTGGTGCTGGGAAACCTGGACTGCTACGTGTAAAAAAATGAAATTAGAACACTCCTTAACACCATACAGAAAAAAAAACCCAAAATGGATTAAAGACCTAAATGTAAGGCCAGATACTATAAAACTCTTAGAGGAAAACATAGGCAGAACACTCTTTGACATAAATCACAGCAATACCTGGATCTACTTCCCAGAGTAATGAATATAAAAACAAAAACAAACAAATGGGACCTAATTAAACTTAAAAGCTTTTGCACAGCAAAGGAAACCACAAACAAAAGGAAAACACAACTCACAGAATGCGAGAAAATATTTGCAAATGAAGAAACCGCCAGGGGATTAATCTCCAAAATATAAAAAATAGTTCATGCAGCTCTACATCAAAAAAAACCAAACAATGGAGTATTATTCAGCCACAAAAAAGAATGAAACAATGCCATTTGCAGTAACATGGATGGATCTACAGATTATCATACTAAGCGAAGTAAGTTAGAGGAAGACAAATATCATATGGTTATCACTTATATGTGGAATCTGAAAAATGATACAAATGAACTTATTTACAAAACAGAAAAAGACTCACAGACTTAGAAAACAAACTTATGGTTACCAAAGGGGAAGGTTGGGGGGAGGGATAAATTAGGAGATTGGGATTCATATATACATACTATTATATATAAAATAATCAACAAGGACCTACTGTATAGCACAGGGAACTCTAGTCAATACTCCATAATAACCTATATGGGAAAATAATCTGAAGAAGAATAGATATGTGTATGTATAACTGAATCACTTTGCTGTACACCTGAAACTAACACAATATTGTAAATCAACTATAGTCTAATACAAAAGAAAAATTAAATAAAAAACTAAAAAAAAAAAAAAAGTAGTATTTACTTCTACACTGGACCAAGAAGGAAATTCTGGGTAAAAAAATAGTCCTTTTCCTAGGCCAAGGGAAATAAGTAGATAAACTAGTTGCTTGGACATGTAAAAGAGGGGAGTAGGAATCAGTAAACTAAGATGTGTTCCACATGTTTTCTTATATTATTTTCCTCTAAACTCCTGAAAATATACTCTTGACCTTCACTCTGTCCACTTCTTAGGGCTTCCTTTCTGGATCCCTTGCCTCAAGCCTTGGAATTCACCAACATGAAACAGGCATGGTTTATCCTTTCAGGAGGCCCAAACAGTTGGATTATTTCCAGCTTTAGAAGTACACTGGAAGCTAACTGGCTTTGCTGTGCTGTTTGAAACTCATTATCAGATTTCTCCCTCCAAAACATATCCTGCTACATAACACCATACCTATGTATTCACTACTAGAAAATTATTTAGTAGAGGTTTTCTGGGTTTCTAAGAAATTTTAATAAAAGGCAAATTTCCCCAGGGTTATTAGCACATATGAGTGATTATGACATACCTAAGAACAGATTCCCAAACAATAAATCATAAGACATGTGACCAGAGAGTTCATGCTACCTCCCAGCCCCAACGGCTTTACTGATTCTAGTAAATACATTTATTTTTTGTATAATTTGTAATAAGTTTATTAAGTTATAAGTATAAACTATGTCCTGATTACTAATACTGATGTCTATTTAAAAATCAAAATAAAGAATATTTTTAAAATAATAACTAAGCATGACTTAAGCAACTTTCTGAGAAAATTTTAGATGTTCTCTAATATTGTATCCAACTCAGTTTTCCTTAATGAATTGTGTTCTATTTCTAGTGTGACCCATCTATTGTCTATTTATTTCCTCCTATCTATCATGATAAGACTTTTTAAGCATTCATTCATTTAATTGATATTTATTGAATACTTATTTTGTTCTAGGTAATGGGTTATAAGGGCATAGCGCTAAACAATACATATCCAGGCCCTGCCTTCACACAAACCCAGGGAGTTAAGAGATTTTTCCGTTACTTGATAATAACAACATCCTTGGGAATTCCCTGGCGGTCCAGCGGTTAGGACTCCATGCTTCCACTGCCGGGGGCCTGGGTTCGATCCCTGGTTGGGGAACTAAGATCCCATAAGCTGTGTGGTGTGGCCAAAAACAAACAAACAAGCAAACAAACAAAAAACCCCCAAGTTTATCCTGATAATCTCTCTTTGTAGCTAGATAAAATTACTTGAACAACTTCTACTAAAAATGCCTCTTTTAAAGGGAATGTACTTCAACATAATAAAGGCCATATATGACAAGCCCACAGCTAATATCATACTCTGGTGAAAAACTGAAAGCTTTTCCTCTAATATCAAGAACAAGATAAGGATGCCCACTCTTGCCACTTTTATTCAACATAGTATTAGAAGTCCTAGCCGGAACAATTGGGCAGGAAAAAGAAATAAAAGGTATCTAAATTGGAAAGGAAGAAGTAAAACTCAGTATTTGCAGATAATATGATAGTACATATAGAAAACTCAAGACTCCACCAAAATCTCAGAACTAAAAAATAAATGGAGGGACTTCCCTGGTGGCACAGTCGTTAATAATCTTCCTGCCAATGCAGGGGACACAGGTTTGATCCTTGGTCCAGGAAGATCCCACGTGCCGCAGAGCAACTAAGCCCGTGTGCCACAACCACTGAGCCTGCGCTCTAGAGGCCGCGAGCCACAACTACTGTGCCTGTGTGCCACAACTACTGAAGGCCATGCACCTAGAGCCCATGCTTTGCAACAAAAGAAGCCACTGCAATGAGAAGTCCGTGCACCACAACGAAGAGTAGCCCCTGCTTGCCATAACTAGAGAAAGCCCACGCACAGCAACGAAGACCCAATGCAGCCAAAAATAAATAAAAATAAATTTATTTTAAAAAATAAAAATAAATAAATGCAGTAAAGTTGCAGCATACAAAATCAATATACTGAAAGCTGTTGCATTTCTATACACAAATAATGAACTACCAGAAAGAGAAATTAAGAAAACAATTGCATTTACAATTGCATCAGAAAGAATAAAATATGTAGGAATAAGCTTAGGAGAGGAAATGAAGGACCTAGACACTGAAAAGTTTAAAACATTGATGAAAGAAATGGAAGACACAAATAAATGGAAAAGTGTTCCATGATCATGGATTCAAAGAATTAATATTGTTAAAACGTCCATACTACTGAAGGAAATCTATAGATTCAGTGCAATTCTTATCAAAATTTCAATGGCATTTTTCACAGAAATAGAATAAACAATCTTAAAATTTATGTGGACCCACAAAAGACCCTGAATAGTCCATGCAATCTTGAGAAAGAAGAACAAAGCTGGAGGCACAACACTCCTTGATTTCAAACTATATTACAAAGTTCTAGTAAGCAAAACAGTATGGTACTGGCATAAAAACAGACACATAGATCAACGGAACAGAACAGAGAGCCCAGAAAGAAACTCACACATAAGACAATTAATTTACAACAAAGGAGCCAAGAATATACAATGGGGAAAGGAGAATCTCTTCAATAAATGGTGTTGGGAGAACTGGACCACTCTCTTATGCCATACACAGAAATTAACGCAAATGGATAAAAGACTTTAACATAAGACCTGAAACCATAAGATTCCTAGATGAAAACATAGTTGATAAACTTCTTGACATTGGTCTTGACAATGTCTTTTTTTTTTTTTTTTTTTGGCTCTGACAACAAAAGCAAAGGAAACAGAAGCAAAAATAAAAACAAACAAACAAAAAATGTGGGACTACATTACACTAAAGCTTCTGCACAGCAAAAGTAATCAACGAAATGAAAAGGCAACCATCTGAATGGGAGAAAATATCTGCAAATCATACAGCTGATATGGGGCTAATATCCAAAATATATAAAGAACTGATACAACTTGATAGCAAAACAAACAAACAAACAAACAAAAAAAAACCTACCAAACCAATTTAAAAAATGGGTAGAAGATCTGAATAGACATTTTTCCAAAGAAGACAATCAGATATCCATCAGGTACACGAAAAGATGCTCAATACCAGTTATATAAGGGAAATGCAAATCAAAACCCCAATAAGGTATCACCTCACACCTGTTAGAGTGGCTGTTTTCAAAAAGACAAGAGACAGCAAGTGTGGGCAAGGATGTGGAGAAGAGAGAATCTCTGCACTGATGATGGGAATGTAAGCTGGCATAGCCACCATGGAAAACAGTATGGGAGGTTCCTCAAAAAATTAAAAATGCAACTACATATGATCCAGTAATTTTACTTCTGGGTATTTATGCAAAGAAAATGAATACAATAACTTGAAAAGATATCTGCACCCCATGTTCATCACAGCATTAATTATGATAGTCAAATTATGGAAACAACCTGTGTCCATCAATGGATGGATTGATGAAGAAAATATGGTATGTATATGTACAATGGAATGCTATTTGGCTGTAATAAAGACTGAAATTTTGCTGCTTAAAACATCATGGATGGGGCTTCCCTGGTGGCGCAGTGGTTGAGAGTCCGCCTGCCGATGCAGGGGACACGGGTTCGTACCCTGGTCCGGGAAGATCCCACATGCCGCGGAGCGGCTGGGCCTGTAAGCCATGGCCGCTGAGCCTGCGCGTCCAGAGCATGTGGTCCGCAACGGGAGAGGCCACAACAGTGAGAGGCCCGCATACCGCAAAAACAAACAAACAAAAAACACCCCATCATGGATGGACCTTGAGGGCATTAGGCTAAGTGAAATAAGTCAAAGAAAGACACATAATATATTATCTCACTTATATGTGGAATAAGAATGAAATCAAAGCAACAAAAATAAACCTCATGGATACAGAGAACAGACTGGTGGTTGTCAGAAGCAGGGGTGTGTATGTGTGTGTGTGGGGTGGAATGGGTAAAGGGAGTTAAAAGGTACAAACTTCCAATTATAAAATAAGGCGTGGGGATATAATTTATAGCATGGCAACTATAGTTAATAATACTGTATTACAGGGCTTCCCTGGTGGCGCAGTGGTTGAGAGTCCACATGCCGATGCAGGGGACACGGGTTCATGCCCCGGTCCAGGAAGACCCCACATGCCGCGGAGTGGCTGGGCCCATGAGCTATGGCCGCTGAGCCTGCGCATCCAGAGCCTGTGCTCTGCAACGGGAGAGGCCACAACAGTGAGAGGCCCGCATATCAGAAAAAAAAAAAATAAATAATAAAAATACTGTATTACATATTTGAAAGTTACTGAGAGAGTAGATCTTAAAAGGTCTCACCACAAAAAAAAAATTCTGTAAATATGTATGGTGATGAATGTTAACTAGACTTACTATGGTGTTCATTTCATGAGGTACACAAATGTTTATTTTATTGTAAACCTAAAATTAACATAATGTATGTCAATTATACCTCAATTAAAAAAGTAAAAAAAAAAAAGGGAAGAAATGTAAGCTTTCATTCTTTCCCAAAATTCATTAAAATTATTTTATTCATATTGATCATAAGTAACCAGGCTCACACTTACCTTTAATCTTCACATACTGCATATCTGGATTAACACACAGGGCAAGGTTACTAGGTAGAGTCCAGGGAGTAGTTGTCCAGGCAACCAAAGATATACTTTCATCTTCCTCCAAAGGGAAAGTTACAAATATTGAAGGATCTTGAACATCCTGAAATAAAATGAAATAAAGTATTCTTTTACAGATTCCATAATAGTAGACATGGAAGAAAAACGAACTGATCCTAAAGAATAAAATAAACTTTTATTTTCAGAATAAACTGAGCTTTAAAAAAATCTGCCATATTTGTAAAAAGAAAATACAAAGAGAGAAATTCCAAATACATTTTTTATATAAAGAAAATGCTTTAATAATTACCTTAGTAATCACAAATAAAACATTTATAGTGTAGCAAGTGGGATACATAAATGAGGTTTCACTATTACAATGATCTATTTTATAACAAGTCCATAAAGAATTAGGTCAATAAAATGACGATTTTGGAAAACAGTGTTATTCTTTATTTGAATTGAAGGGTATATGAGAATTCTTTTCAACTTTTCAGGAAGTCTGAAATTATGCCAAATATTAAAAACAAACACAATCCTTAGTACACACTCATAGTATGGCCAAAGTGAAAAAAGACAGAAAATACTAAGTGCTGACAAGGATGCAGTGTCATCAGAACTGTCTAGTGGAAGTATAATCCCTTTGGGGTTAGAGTGGGAGGCAATGAACCATTGTCCATGCATGGGTCAAATCTGGCTGTTACCTGTTTTTATAGAGCCCAAGACCTAAGAATGGTTTTGACAGGACTGAAAGATCTGGCCAACAAAGTCTAAAATATTTACTATCTAGCCTTTACAAAGTTTGCCAACTCTTGTACTAGGGCTAAATGTAAGTATACGTTATGACTCAATAATCCCACTCCTGGGAATGTGTATATATGCTCCCCAAAAGACAAGTTCCAGAATGCTCACGGTAGTACTACTGATAAGAGCCAAAAATTGGATATTACCCAAATGTCCATCGACAATAGAATGGATAAGTTAAATACTAGACAGTCATTAAAATGATGATCTACAACTACACACAACATGGATGACTTTCACAAACATAATCTTGAGCAAGAGAAGCCAGATGCAAAAAAAGAACAAAGTGTACAATTCCGTTTATATTTAGTACAGAATCAGCAAACAATGAGGTTGGAAGTGAGGACAGTGGTTGCTATAGAGGAGTGGGGGGATACATGCTAAACTGAAGGGACCATGAGAAGGGAGAGCTTTTCACAGGTTGCTTGACAAGGTTCTTCTTTAACTTTATCTGGGTGTTGGCTTCACATTCATTTTGTGCCAGTATATGGAACAGAGTAAGTAAATGGAGGAGCAAAAAAATGTTGTCTTATTAAACCAGGAAATAGGTACTAAGATATAAAAATTATTAATTTTAGTATGTACAGTAATAAACATAAAAAAATTAAAAAGCCACTGAAGAGAACTCTAAATAAAACATTAATAGTGATTTCCTTTGGGTACTGAAATTATAATTTTTTTCCCTCTTCTTTATATCTTCTATGGCTTCTAAATTTTCCACAATGAGCATAAGCCTCATAAATAATCACATCAACCAGACTTCTAAAAACTAAAAATTTAGACAATATAAAAAATAAATATTTTTATATACCACAAGTTGGTTTACCTTTGGAAAAGTTGGAAGGACTTTCTTCTGTAACTCAATTTAGTTCCATACAGCTTGCTCTTTCCCAATAAGAGAATGTATTTATTTACTTATAGAAGAGTATACACTTTGAAAACCCTAGGACCTAACAAGCTATAATGGGACTCTAACATGTAAAAATTTAGTTACCAAACAAAATTTCAGCATAGTACACAGGATTTATATTACAAAACATTTGGAGCAACACCAATTGTTACCATTTAAAAAGAAAAAAAGGCTGTGCCCTCTGAACACCTCAAATATCTGTCAAAAGAATGAATAAATAAATTGTAATCTGTTATATGAAACACTATACAGCAGTTAAAAATAAACTTAAAGCTACATGTATCAATATGAAGAAAATTTAAAACAATGTTTAGTATAAAAGGCAAGAATAAATAGAAATAATAAGAAAAATGCAGAATAAATACAATGAATGAGATTTAAAAACTTGCGAACAACACTAAATACTGCTTACGGATACTTATATAGATAATAAAAATATGCATGAAAAAGAAACACCAAATTCAGCATAGTGGTTACCTATCAGGATGTGAAGAAGGAAATGGAAAAGAGAAATGTGCTGTAAATAAACAAACTGTGGTATATTCACCTACACAGAAATTAGAACAAAAGACCCAAAACTACACATAACATGGATGACTATCACAAACATAATGCTGAGTGAGTAAAGCCAGAAACAGAAGAATACATAGTGGATCTTTCCATTTCTTCAAAGTACAGAACCAGACAAAACTAATCAACTGCTATCTGTGACATTTGATGTATTTGAAATCAACAATGGATGCATTTAGTGAAACCCATGTTTTGTTTTTTAATTTTTTGGCCACGCCACGAGGCTTGCGCGACCTTAGTTCCTTCCCCAAAAGAGCCTGTACTCCTCAACGGGAGAGGCCACAACAGTGAGAGGCCCGCATACCGCAAAAAAAAAAAAAAAAAAAAAAAGAAGTACTTATTTCTATAAAATGCAGAGGACAGAGAAAATGTTAGATTATGGAGATGTAATCATCAAAACTCAGATTGTGGGAAACTACAAGATAATATCTGTTTCCCAAACAACAATTTGCAAGGGGGAAAAAAAAAGAAAAAGAAAAACATAAAAAGAGAAATGGAGCCCTACACATTAAAACAGACCTAAAAGACAACTATTACCGTGTATGAACCTTCCTTATGTCTCGATTAAAACAAAACAAGAAAACACAAACCAAAAAAAACAACTAGAAATAACCTGAGGGAAAAAAAGGATGCTGTTTATGAGACAAATAGAAATGTGAACACTGATGATATCCAGGAGTTAAACAACTACAGAATATTTAATATTAAGAACATTAAAAATGATTGATGATGACTTCTTAAGGTGTGATAATGGTACTCTGGTAATGTTAAAGAAATATTTCTTATCTAGTGAAGATAT